ATGAAGATGATCTGATACGGCATGCCAGGGCCTGCTAGCCAATAGTATGATGATAAAATGTACGGATTGGTTGTTGTTGATGATGATGACCATGGTGGTGCCCTTGTAGCCTCGATATACGGTCCGACATCACGTTGTATGTATGTGTGCGTGTGCGCCTTGCGCAGTGCAGCCGTTTTTGCGTTTTTAGTGATTTGGGCCGAACCGGCTTTTTACGTGCTGCGAAGCAGCCAGCAGCCGGAGATTGTGCCTGGCCCAGACTTGAGCTCCTTCAAACAGAGCCTCTTCGAGAAGGGGCGGTTGGATGGACTCAAGTCAGCCAAAGGCTTCGGTGCAGTGTCCGATTGCGCCTTTGCCCAGCGAGATCCCATGGCCCCGCTTCCTTGCTGCAGCACCCATACATTCGGCAGAGGCTTCGAGCGACTCTTCAGATTACAGTCCCTCTGACGACCAGAACCTCCAAATATGGTTGGGCCCTGCAACATTGCCTGGGAAGCTGGAAAACCTCCGGATCAATCGATCCGACATTTCCTCGGCAGCAAACTGCGAGAGTTACAGATCATGCGTAAGACTGAGTGACTACATGCGACTTCGTTCGGAAGACCCGCAGAGACACTTGGTGCAGATCAGCATGGTTCTTTGCTGTGGCCTTCGCGGCCTTGCATGTTTGTCGCATGCCGTTGCTTTCCCAGGACCGGATCTCTCATTCGGCAGCCTGCTACACGTGGGTGATGGATGCAATTCGCTGTGCTTGATTTGTAGCATCTCGGCATATGATAGGGGCGTGATGCGGCGTGACGCTTTCTTGTGAAAGCCGATCTCTTCTGCGAATCGGACCGGAGATGCGTTGTAGGAGTTGTTATTGTGCATGGCTGACATCTAGGACCTACTGTAGGGTGCAGCTCAGTGTGAAGGCATGCCGCCCAGTTGTCAAGTCCAGATGACAATTCAGGTTATCACAAGCCCCCGGCACGCTCCTGCAAGAATGGAGTCTTTTGCGACTTCTGTCACTTGCATGACGGACGGCGGAACAGCCGGCGCCGGAGGAGGGAGGAGCCTCGCCGCAAATCTGTGTTTCTAGTGTGTTTCCATTGCAGTCCGGTCAATTCCACCAGTGAGGTTTCATTGCTACCAGTGCAACATGGGAGAGGGGCTGTGAGTCTGCTGCATGCTCAGGCGACCGGGCCGGCGGCTGGTCGAATGAGTTGGGCCGACACAGAAATCCCAGTGCTGGAGGCAATCCGCTTCTAAAGGTCGTTTTGCCGAACTGTCTAAGCAGTAGTCTGGGGCAGCCTTGACCAACAGCAGATGATACCGACTCGTGTGCTGGAAGTTCGCATGGCTTTCCCGTGGCCGGGGAACTAATGCTGGGCTTGTCACTGGTCAACTTGTCTCACGGGCGCATCTATCAATCAATCATTCTCCGCCATGAAATCCAGATCCAGCTTGCCAAGTTGCATCTGAGTATCATGGAGCAATCTTTGTCATCTGAGAGCCTCATGCTTCATAAGTTCTAGCGCTTCAGGCTAGTAGTATGCTATGGGCTCATAAAGTCGACACACGTTTGAATGAAGCTGAGGAGAGAGGGGATGTTGAGTAAAAATGCCGGGGATGCACGAATCGCCAACGGTCGGAGCTCACAGATAATGTGTAGTTCGCCATGTCATCATGCTGCTGCTTCATCGAGGGTCGATGCAGTCCGACGGCCTTTTCCTCACTTCTACACCATCGCTCCGGGGCCTATTTTGCGTGTCGACTCTCGGGTTGCCTGCGGAAGTGCAATGTAAGTGCACATTCCAGTGCAGCACCCGGAACTGGCACAAGCATGCAATTGATGCAGATTGAGCATCAGAATCCTTATGAATTTCCCTGACCCAACTTGTGGATTTGGGAGCTTCACCAGGACATGCGTGAGGACCGCAAGTCCGGTGCAAGCGCTAGGACACCTCGTAGTATCCAGGGGTCTAAGGCCGAAGAATAATCAGCTTTGAAGCCCTCTCAGCATCTCAGCATCTAAGTGTTTATCCACAAGCTATGGGAGAGGGCTGAGGTCTATCCGTCGCCCAGAGATGCATCTGCTCACAGCTAGCAGAATGCAATGGCACTCTGCTCCTCGTACCTTGATCCGAACCGGGCCAAGAGTTCGAGCAGTGGGGGCATCTTCGAATTAGCTCCATGATGTGAGCAAGGGCAAGGCTTTTAGGCGAAGCACCTTGGATCTTCATGGTCATGGATCTTCGGCGACATTCGCCTTCCTATATGGTCTCGAGCAGCAGGCTCAGGCGCCAGAAAAGTCAGACTTGTTGCCTGCAGGGATTGCTGGTGCATCTGCGCCCTCCTGCAGTGAGGCTTGGTGCTTCAGCCGTTTCCGGATTTCGGCGGATTGATCGCGGTCTAGTGTATATTATATATAGGGCATATATGCAGCATGACACCAGCGCGCTCAGGAGTGAGGCCACTTTTGCACCGCGCCTCGTGGAGGTGGCCGAGGCTTCAACGTCAGTTATGAAGTTAGCGTCTGCTGATGTGGGGCGGTTTAGGGTTTTAGAGTTTATGCTGTTTGGCTTCAGGGTTTTAGAGTTTAAGTTGCTTGGGTTTTAAAGTTTAGGCTGTTTGGGTTTAGGGTTGGGGATCTTCATGTTAAACTAAATCAGACTGTGTCGGGTCCCTACATCTCCCACAGCCTTCAGCAAAGTGCACCCCTTGGAAGCGATCCCAGTGGGCGAAGCTCGCGCCCTCTTGGGTCGGTGCCTGGGCTCCCGCGAACGGGAGTTTCACAAGCGAGAAAACCCCAATAGCACTACTGTAGACTCCAACTAGTAACTAATCAGATCCTTGCTATAAGGGCCCACGAAAGGTGGACTAAAATCCGGAACCCCGCAAGGAAGACCCCCGATTTTGCCGACAGGAGGGTCCTGCCTTCGTCACTGCCGCTTGCCTCAGAGAACTGAAGATGGCAGGTTTGCTCAGACTGAACACCAAAGCCTAAGCCTAAATTTGTTTGCAAGCTCCCAACCTATCTCCCCAACCCACTTGCCGATCAGCCAAGGTCCTGGGCCACCCAGATGTGGAAATCACACTCGAGGCCGCCTTTGAGTGAAGTTTGCTGGCCAAGTTGGCCCTCAGTTGGCAGACCGAGCGGATCGTCAATGTGCCCGAGTTTTACAGAGATTAGGTGCAAATAGTCTGGTAAGCAAGATTATGAACGCCGTCAGCAGGCTCTGATTAGACATTCAAGATGTGACTGCATGTTTCGCCTCGGGAGTATTGGTGGTTTTTAAGCGCAGGCAACTGCCATGATCTGTAAGCCTCCGGTCTAAGTCAAGCCTGCTCGGACGAGGATGCCTCAAAAATCTGGTTCCTCAACTTTCGATGGTGTTTCAAACTCTGCCAACTCCTTTGGCCCCTTGTGAGGTGCAAGGGAATGCCTTTTCCGCGTTGGCCGAAATGTTTAGCTGCTCGGCAGCAGGGCTTCGTTGGCCCGCTCAAGCGTGAACTCAGGAAAGTTTGGTTCCTGGGACCGTGATGCATGCCATGCCAAATGTGTTCAAAAAGCTGACGGCAGACAACAAGCACTTGAGGTGAGCACTGGCTCCTACAGCCCATGCAGCAGCCAAGGACGTTTCTTGCGACCCCTGGTTATCGCCTGGATTGGGGCCACAACTGCCCTCACAGCCCGAGACTCGTTGAGGGACTGTGTGGTCGAGACCTCTGACCTCAGACGGGATATTCATACTGGTGACAGTCTTCGCCCGTTGTGCGAACATCACAGCAACCCACGTCGCAAGAACACTGACAGTAGCCAAATGTGGTCATAGCAGTGTCATTAAGGAGAGTAGCAGTGCGAGGTGCCTGTAGTAGCACCACTGACAACCCAATGCAATTTTCGTAAAGATCTGACAAGAAGAGAGTGCCAGTATTTGTCATATCGTAGAGCGATAGCGGTGGCAGCAGCAGTAGCAGGCAGTAGCAGTAGCAGCAGCAGTAGCAGTGGCAGCAGTAGTGCAGTAGCAGTAGCAGCAGCAATAGTAAAAGCAAGGGAAGCAGTAGCTGTTGGAGTAGGGGTAGGGGTACAGCGAAACAGCAAATGGATACGACAATGCATGGAGAAGCAGACAACACCACGCCTTTGTCTCAGTAGATAGCTTAACATTATGTGTATCTGTATATCCATATGTCTATACATCTGTAAATCTGCACATCCATACACCTGTTTGTCATGTGTATATATTTTATCACAGACTTACCCATCTGTCTCTATTTATTTGTCTATCGATCTACCTACCTGTACATCTATATGTGGTATATATGTATGTATATATATATATATATATATAGACTACATACCTGTATGTATGTATGTATGTATGTGTGTACATTCGTTCATTCATTCGTTCATTCATTCATTCATTCGTTCGTTCGTTCGTTCGTTTATTTATTCATTCATGCATGCATGCATGCATGCATGCATGCATTCATGCATTCATGCATTCATGCATACATTCATACATTCACCCATCCATTCATCCATACATTCATCACTGAATCTTTCATTATTTCGTTCATTTACTTGTTTATTTGTGTAGTAGTTGCATACATACATACATACATACACACATACATACATACATGCATACATACTGTTCGTACTGTTATGCTATACCATACAATACTATGCTATAAATGCTCTGCAATCCTAGGCTATTCTATATTATACTATGCTATGCGATGCTAAGCTATACTATGCGATACTACACCATACACATGTAAGTAGAAACGTACGTAGATACATAGGCACATTCGAACACAGCGTAGATGTGTGCATATGTAAGTAACTAAATACGTATGTATACACACGGACATGCGAAGCTTGTAATCTATATGTGCACGTACATGTCTATATGTATGCAGTTCAGGAGGTGGCCCCCCTTTGTGCACCTTTCCTTTCCTGTGACCTTTCGAGGCTGCTGAGGTCTACAGCCCGCGCAGGCAGCCGGGGTTGCCAAATGAATGCTTTTCTTGCAAGGCTGTCGTCCCTCGGTTCTACAGCTCTCGGTGAGCCTGTTATGTTCTTTCCCAAAAGCGACTCGGGTGCCTCGAGTCTCGGAGGCCTCCGAGCGGGTGCTTCGCACTGCTGTGGCTCGTGGCGAGCCTCGCCCTGCAGGCTTGCAGCGGCTTGCAGCGGCTTGCAGCGGCTTGCATGCTGAGAGTTCCGGGCCCGTCCAAAGCATCTTTTCATCTCCGGCCCCAAAGGTTCTAGATTCTCGGTCCTTGGTCCCCAGCCATCCCCAGCCTGTCGTCGCGTGTGCGGAGTCGCTGGGAAGGTGGCGCGAAACGCGTCGGCATCCCTGCTGCCACTCCAGGCTGGGTAAGTTTAGGCAGTGCTAAATCATGGCCCTCGGGCAGGACGAAGAGGCTTCAGTAGCACGCAGGAACAGGCCTACGCGTGTGGGTAGGGGAGCATGTGTTTCTGCTTTGTCGTGCCCTTGCCGAGTTTGCCGTGGCTCTCTTGGCTTGGGGCCTGGCCCATCTGCGCCCTGGCGGAAGTGAGAAACGTGGGGTCCGGTGGTGGGGGCCTCTTTTTCAGAGCTCTTCTGGCTCAGGTGCAGGCTCTTAGTGCGCTTGCCTTCCGCCTGCTGCCGCTTTGGCCGGGGGCCAAAGCAGAAAAGGGAGCTCTTTCTTTCGTTGCCGTTTCGATGCCAAGTCCGCGTCGGCTCCGGGTCTCAGAGCGCCCATAGCCTATACTGTAGCCTATTGTAGCCTACAGCGCCGTGCCATGGGCAGTGCTGCGGCCTCGAAGCTCGCGGAGGGCGTGAAAGAGGCCAGCCCGGCGGCTCTCCAGGAGTCGGCGAAGGATCTCTCCGGCGAAGAACGGAGCCGGATCATGTCTGCCATTGCAATCTTGGAGCTCGCCGGGGGCTATGCCGGCTCTACCAGCAATGGTGACTGGGGAGACTATAGTATTCGCGTCCAAGTGAAGCAAGATGCCACTGCCACCGTTAGTGAGTCGGCGTGCTTCTTCCGAGACAGCCCTTCTGAAGACACCACACACACAGGCACGTGCAGCGTGACAGACGATATTCTGACCTTCACCGCCAAGGCTTGGAGGTGTCAAAATTAGGAGATTCCAGGTTTTGAACTAAGCGTGGGGCGAAGGCAGCTTCAAGTATTGTCAAGAAGGCTCTTCCGGAGCCTGTCGCAGTTGTCTTGTCTGCAAAGAATGCTAGGGCCGAGGGCGAAGAGATGCCAATGCTTGAAAGCATGTGTGTGTGTGTGTATGTGCGCCCGCGCTGTAGCGCGTGCGAGTGCGCGGACGCGCTGGGTGGGTATCCCCCTCGCCCCAGGCCGCTTCTGGAGTGATTTACTACAGGGAACAGCATGCTGGGTCATCAGTTTGCTTGGCTGGCTCAGTGACGAAAGTGTGTACAGTTGCGTCGGTGGGACAAATCTGTAATCAGCAACTATGCAAGACTTCATCTGGCCGGCAGCGGCAGCCGAAGAAACACTGTGGTGTAAGGCCTTCAGGATTCAGCTTGTATTGTTTTGACCAAAACTAATCAGTCGGGAAGCTGTGGAAATGCCTCCTTGAATCCATTCCGGCCTTCATTCAACCCACCATGACGCCAGGAGACGACGACGACTTCGTCATATGCGGATGAAGGCAGTGACAAGACCGTGATCATCAAGTTCAAGATGCCTAGCCGCAAATGGAAACGTTTCTCAGGATGAAGTTTTTCTTCTGGCTCGTGGTTTCAGGTTTGGGTTTGGATTTTCTTCTGTGCTCCCGATATATGCACAGCGCCAGCAAAACCAGAAATCATGACACCTATGACACTAGTGGCAGTACTATAGTTGGAGTTGCCGGTAAGGGGCCTGAGGGTTGCAGGATGAAAGTGCACAGAAAGGAGTGACGATTTAGGTGTGAAGTGGGAATTGGACCCACTCAATTCATTTCTTAAGCTTGGCTGGACGAGACAGGATCCAGGGAGACGGCTCGCTGGCGCGGCTGGCCGAGGACGGCACGATTGCAGTGATGCAAGGCGGGTACGACGGTGAGAAGGTGGGTAGGAACAAAGATTGGCGAAGTGGAGCCACCCAGAGTTTTGGATTCCTGGTCTCGGCTTTAGATCACCCTGCAGGTGCCGGCGATCCTCAAGCGCAAGAAGTGCACCAAGACGGGGTAGACCCAGGTCCTTTTCTGCAGAATTCTGCCGTGCGGACATCCCTCACCAGCTTCTGCCAGCTGACCTCCAAAGCGAAACGCCCCTAAAGCATTGCGGCGCAAGACGCGGTGCATTGTCGTTCCAGGGGCAGACGATTCCAGCGCTGAAAAAGCATGTCCGGAGTGCCTCTTGAGTGAAGATCCGCTCCTCCAGTCACCTTTCTACGGGCCAAGGCCAGAAGAGAGGGGAAGAACGTGCAGGTGTGGGGCTCTGCAGTTCTCGATGAAATGGGTCTCGCGCTTCAGGAAGTTGAGGATGCCAAAACGGGGGGTCAGAAATCACTCTAACTACTAATGACTACTTGTAGCTAGAGTGGACAACCATTCATTACTCACCACATATTCGCAGACCTGAATCGATGGACAGATGCCGGTTCTTTCCGTCCAGTCTCTGAAGAGGTCTGAAAGGAAACCCGGCTAGCATCAAACATGAAACTAAATAGCACTGTGTATCATATTGTATCAATAAGAGCAATGAGGACGATAGTCGTAGTATGATTTTTGGTTGTTCTCAAATCCCATTTTTCGTTGCTACTGGAAACAGTTATCAAAGTATTCGCAAACATTATGAATCATGGCCAAAAGCCCACCCAAATCCTAAACTTAAACCGCCAGCCACTTTTGGGAGTTTCTGAGAATAGGGGACCCGAATATAGTACCCTGAATAGTAGGATCCTTATTGTAAGGACCCAAAACAAGGTACCCCTAATTTTCGGAAACTCCCTAAACCCTTATAGAGCCCTTTACAGGAACCCTTGTAGTACCCTTATAGTAACCCTTTAAACGCTAATTTTCGGAAACTTCCATATTCGAACTCCCGAACCCTCCTCCGCTTTTTCTGCCTTTTTTCGAGCCTCGAGCCGAAGCCAGTCGAGGGCCCAGAAATCGGACAGCCCCATGCTACAGCAGATTTTCTAACATACTATAGTATTGTATAGCCTACAAGAATATACTTTAGCATAATCTACAAGAGTATACTACAGCATAACATACAAGAGTTTACTATAGCATAATACACAAGAAAATGCCATCAAACGTCTTAAATACCCAGCATGCTGCAGTCGAAGGTGCCAGAAGCCCACGTGTATCTGCGGCGCTCTGCTGGCTGGTGCTGGCGGGCGTCGGGTCGCTAAATCCTGGAGGCCAGGGTGCACGCAAGTCGCATAAACCCGGTAAAGGAAACCTTTCAAGGGATCCCCTAAACCCGTATTGGGGCCCCTAGACATCCCCTAGAGAGGCCCATAAAGGAACCCTGCAATAGCGCGAAGCCGGAATTCTGCCGTCCGCCTCGCTTTAACATGAAAGTCTCCGGGGTTGAAGATTTTCAATTGAGGAAGCCTGTGCTTATTTCCACAGACGGTGAAGGTTCTATGTTCGGTATATATATATATATACATATATATATAGAAAACGTAGTATAACACCATATAACATAATGTAATGTAATAGAACATAACAGAATAGAATATTATAGAGTATAATAGAATAGACTATATACTGTACGTGCGCAATCGTGTGCATGTACGTATGCATCTGCATATGTACGTACGTATGTACATATGCACGCTGCATGCGTGCATGCATGGCATGTATGTACACACTGTTATGCTATACGCTATACTGTGCAATATGTTATCTAATGCATCATGGTCTACCTTATTGTTTATGAAAGCGAGTCTGAAGTGAACCGGCCCGACGCGTCGAGGCTGCTTGGTGCTCCTGATCGGCTCTTCTATGGCCTCTGCCTCCGGCCGACCGCTTCGAGCCTTGGGGTTGAAGGTTTAGGGGTTTCTGCAATTCAGGTGCTTCTGGTGAGACTGCCGCGAGATGACCAAGCAGAGGTCGGAGAAGCGTTCAATTGCAAAAGATGCGCAAACCTTCGTTTTCAATTCGGATTTCTTGTATGAAGTCTTTGAAGTGCTCTATCAATGAACTCGTCGGAACAAGGAAAGCCCCGGAAGCGCCTGTGGAGAACCAAATCCGTTTTTTGACAATGCGCCACAGCGCTGGTCAACAAAAGTCGCGCTACCTTGTTCGTGACTGCGCAGTATGTCGGCGCATAGATTATAGTTATCTCTCTCCTTAGCTTTCCTGCGGGTCTGAACTGTCGGACCACCTGTGCAGATGCACGGTCCATCGGCGCTCTGTGGTCGTCGAGATAAGCGTACTTCCGGGGCAGCTGGGGAATCCAAGCAGCTGTGCAGCAGGAAAGGCAAGGTTCGATTTCGCGTCGAGACCACCTGCGCCATACCACAGGCCGAGAGTCGCAGTGCGTGATCCGCTTTCGTCGTCAACAGCGTCACCAGCCTCCAATGATGCAATCGCACAAGTTCAACATCTGTCCGCAAAGCTACCATCAAGCTATGCGATTTTGCCAGTTTGACTGACAGGTGCGCCCTTCAACCCGCATGACATCAGCGGTAATCGTTGCAGCAAAAATGCTCTGATGACATTGATGAAAGTCATGATGAAGATGATGATGATGATGATGATGGTAATGATGGTAATGATGAGCGTGATGCTCCTGATGAAGATAAGTTCTCGTGATGATGATGATGAGCATGAAGATCAAGATTGTAATCTAGGTGATCATCATGGAGATGCTGAACAAGATAAGCGAATGCTGATAACCACAATGTTTTTGGAAAAGGAAGATCATGGTGATGTTTGTCGTGATTTCATGATGCTCATGGCGGTTGTATTTCACAATGATCATGGCGGTTGTGACGGTGATGATGATGAACATGGAGAGGATGATGACGATGATGATGGTTATAGTAATGATGATGATGAAGATGGTGACAAACATTATTGTGTATGGTGATGGTGGTGAGTAGTACGATGTAAACGAAGATTACGACCTTCATTATTGTATGTTGTTGATGGTTAGATGGGTGCAGGATTATGATGATGTTTGAGGCGATTGTTCGGGTGAGCGTGATTGAGATGAGGATCATGACAATGATCATGACGGTGATGAGGGGTGATGATGGTTGATGACGAGCACGAAGGTTATGATGCTGCTGATGATGATGGTGGTGGTGATGATTGCGATGGTGGTGAATTGTATAATGAAGATGAAAATTATGACCATATCTTTATTGTGCTGGTTAGGATGTGAAAACGATCCAGATGAGAAGTATGATGCTGCCTCTATACTTCTATGAGGGTGGGGCCCCTGACATGTCTGGGATTGAGGTTCTCCCTCCCCCCCCTGGCAACCCCGTCCCGTCGCCCATGACCCCGCCCGGCGAAAATTGCAAGTCCGCATTGGCGAAAGGTGTAGCCAAACACAACAGAAGAATCCTGGCAAACTTGGACAACGCGGGCTGAAACAAGCATTACCCGCAAGTCGTTTCGGGTGACTTTAGCATGAACAAGCGTTGAGCAAAAAGCCAGACGCGCCGTCTACCCGTGTGCGTTTGCATTCATACGAAAGAATGCGGTCAGGCATATGCATTTATATATATATATATATATATATATACACACACATACTGGTTCAAGCACAGATGTGGATGCAGATGTAGATTCACATAGCATGCATAGATTTATAGATGTGCCGGACCTGCGTGTGTGTGTGTGTGTGTGTGTGTGTGTGTGTGTGTGTGTGTGTGTGTGTGTGTGTGTGTGTGTGTGTGTGTGAACCTCCCTAGTACATGGGAGCAGAGGGTCACTCCTACACTGCTTGCAATTTTGCTTTGCAACACAATCAGACATTTGACACTTAACGATTCAAATGTTGCAGGGGGATCAGGCTTCCAGTGACTGACCTGATCCAACGAAGCTAGGTCACTGGAAGGGAAGTGATTGAGGACTCTCAGTCATGTACCTGCGCAATTTTCGGCAGCCCCCTGTGGTGCCAAGATTAGTGTGAGGACAGGCCCCCTGTGGTGTCCAGATTATACAAACAAGTTGTACGGTTGCCACAATCTGACAAACTTTTACAACATGAACAACATGCCTCTCTTTTTCCTCTTGCACTCGTACTCTTGGCCGAATCCATCAGTGTGATCAGCGTGGGTCGATGAGACTCCAGAGCAACGGCTTTCCGTCATGGCGCCGTGGTGACCCTCCGGGGAGACCGGTGATGAACCGGGTGTTCAGCCTTCGTTCAGATCGTTCAGAATCTCCCGATGCTACTTTATCTCTCTCTCTCTGATGCCCGCATGTGAGTCTGACATGAGCGCAGTTGCAGTAACCGACGTCTAGTGCAGTAACCGGCCGCTAATGCACAGGTTCTCTCTATTCTGCCCCGGGGTTTTTCACTTCTCTATTCCTCAGGGACTGCAAGGGCATGTGCATCTGTCATGAGTGCAGACGTGGTAAAGATGTCTACAGCAAGTGAAGCAGCGCTCTCTCCGGAGAGTACTCGGCCCTCCACCTTCCTTCTCTCCGTCTACGACCTCTCAAATCAGTCCAGCAGGGACAATCAGGACAGCCTGCACTTTGCTTGTGCAACTGTGTGCGTTTCACCCGCTTCGTTGCAGCTATGTGGCCGGAACATTTTGCCGCGCAGCCACCAGCAACACCATATGCACCAACAGCCCGACCGGTGCTTAATCAATTTCACCAGAACACCTGGGTGCCGCAGTCTCAAAGCTACCCAGCAATGATGCCAACCGGCATTGCTGCCACTCAGCAGCCCACACTGCCAACACAACCCACTACGATTCCTCTTGAGCAAACACACGGCTTCCCCATGATGCCGTGTGGACACACCGCTCCTATCCCACAGCATCCGACAATCTACGCACATCTCAGCACACCACAACCCCAGATGCCACAACAACCACCACCCCAGCAATTCATGCCACAACAACCCACACCGCTCATGAATCCTGCACTTGTGCCTACCCATCCAACAGCTTTTCCCATGAGCCTTTCCGCTTCAACACAGCATCAGGCCCAACCTACTACATTCAACTTTCCTTTTGCACCACCTGCCCCACAACCACAACT